ACTGCGGTGACTAGCATGTTTAAGATCAGCACTGCCCAGGGCTGAAAGTCTTCTGACAATTACAAAATAAAACCCCAACAACTCCAAAAGGTCTGTTTCTGCAGAAACTTAGTTTAGTACCCCACAACTTCATGCACTGCAGTTAGTGCTTCCATACAGCAAACAGCATCTGTACAGCCAACGCTTAGAGCCAGCCTAAGTTTTCCTGCAAATGAAAACTTTTCTACACCTTACAGAAATATTATTTTTGAACAGCAGAATCAGTAAGCGTCACACAGTACTTACAGGTCTCTGTTGATCATGTCTATCAGTAAGCCATCTGTTCTCCTCCTGTTGAGCAGGTACCACACCATGCCCCCGAAGTGCCTGGTGGAGCGCAGCAGGTCGTACTTGGCGTGTTTATCGATGTCCTCGTACGCCCGGTGATGAACCTGCACCCAGGGACGGTTTCAGTCTCACTCACACAACTGGAGCTTCATGGCAGGTCTTCCCCTCTACCTCTCTCATAGTTTTTAATCTATTTTCTCTTTCCCTAAAGTGCAGGAGTAAGCCACAGACTGAACCATGCTACCTTAAAGCTTTATGCATATTACAATTCAGGGTAACAGTGGAATAGCCCAGTCCTTAGGATTTAGGCACAGGCACCTTTATGGTAAAAGGAAGCTAAATCCTAGTTATGTCCTGAACATTTGGGGAGGCAGGGACATAACCTCAACCTTCGGTGCACTGCTGTCAAGTTGTAATCTGCTCTATAAGGTGAAAAATGCTAGAGCAAAGAAGTGAAACTTGCCTTTGAAGAAAAGGTCCTTGAAAAATTACCTAACAGAAGTTACAGTTTCTCAGACAACTGAGATTATCACAGAGTAAAGAGTAGTAAACATTTTAAAAGCAACTGCAGACTAACATATTTACCAGCAGCTACAGCTACTAACTTTAAATAGTTCAGCTAGAACTACATTTTTGCACCTGGTCTTTGTCAAAAGTCATCCTTTGTGTACAGTGCTCTCTCTCAAAGTGCACTTTCAGTTATCTAACTGGTCCTTTTAAGTCCTAACAGAGCAGTTACCATGACTCCAGCAGCACAACTCTGCTCACGGCCCCTTAGGCATGTTATCATCAATTCTGTTTAGATAATAAAAATATCTGCACAAAGACTATTTTTTTTGCATATGTGATATTTTTCTGTCCTGTTGAAAATTACTTAAACAGAATTCTGGTTTACTTTCCTGCATAAAAATAAACCCCAAAACTCATCAGAAAGATAACTGATAATCTATATGGAGGGGAAAAAAACCTGTGACCAACACCTTTGAGCCCCAGATAATATTTGTGTTTACAAGACAAACCCTAACAGTTCTTCACTATTTTTTTTTTTTAGTAGAAAAATGACAAGTGAACTCACTCTGATATAGTCAGGTGAATCTGGCTCAAACTGAGCAATGCACATATTAAGGACATCTTCATGACGGTCTTGCTGAAACACATTCTGAAACAACAGTTCAAATTCAGGAGATTCTGTATCACACCATTCCAACTCTCCAAAATCAAAACAGCAGCCACAACATTCTGTTCTGAGCAACACTTACAGTGAGTAACCCCTTAATTGAAAGATAAAATGCACAGAAGTACCGTAATTGCCTTGACATTAATACAGTATTCCTTGATTTTTGTTTCTGAAACACCAGGTCACATTTTCAGATTAAATGTACAATATCATCAATGCATAACAATTAAATGTGGACTTCTAGTATGACACAGTGTTTATAACTATCCAGGATTTACCTGGACCTAACCTGGAACTTTACTGTAAGTATTTTAACTAAGTTACAATGATAAGCAGTTGCTGAAAACAGAATTTAAGCAGCTTAAAGCACATGGAGTGGCTTATTCATAGCTCCTCTGCCCAGTAACAGAGCACAGTTAAGTAAAAATAACCAGTTTTCAAACTCAAGAGGAACTTACCCCAAGGTTTTCATCCTTGAATAGTGCTGGGGCAATAACTCTGCGCCCTTCCCTTGGGAAGAATATCTGTATCATTCTGTCCCGTTCTTCCCACGTCGCTTTTCTTAACACACCATTTGGTTCTCTAACTACAATGAAACGTTCCTGAAAAGAAGGTAAAATAAAAAAAAAAGAGCATTATCTCCCAAAGCCTTCTGTCTTCGTAGCCAGAACCACTATAAAGAAAGATTATTTGTCAAAGCCCTTCAATACCTAACTCCCACCAATAATGCCAGTTTCTAACTGATTGTTGCTATGTGCTAAATTCATCATTTCTGCCTTGGTACCTGCTAATTAAGTGCTACATTTGCACCTTCGTTTTACTGTGCATGTGCCTATACTAAAAGCTACAGCTCTGTTAAGTTTAGATTAACAACATAAGTCATACCCAGACAAAGCAGTTAGCCTTGCTGCTGGCCTGATTTTACCACTGAGTAATACACATGAAATTAAAAATGCAAGTGTCTTGCACTTCTTTACCTTTGTTTCAGAGGCAGGTGCTAGAATCAAGTAAGGGCAACTGCAGTACAAAAAAAATACACGTGAAACCATATACTCAGATCTGTTCACAAGCATAATTGATTTAGGGCAGCAGATGGGAAAGTCTGTTCAATGCACTGAAAAATAAACAGCAGGTTCCTGGGGAGAGCTCTCAGATAGAGTAATAGATGGAGGAGTGGGGAATTCCTTTCACAGGGCCATCACTATATGCATGCTGGAACCATGGAGACTTCTTAGAATCATAACTGTTTGTTAAGAATCTTTCCAGCCTCTTCCTACTGGTACTTAAAGACCATCTAGATGTTTCATTAGACAAAGAAAACTCTATCCCTATACTCAACAAGTCTACTTGACAGCTGTTTCTTTACAGCTTTCCCATGAATTCATCCATCATTTGCACAGCTTTCCACCAGATTTTTGCTGCTGTGAAGGAGCTCCATCTTTAGTACATATTTAGCCTATGTCCTAAATATTCCAATTCCACAGAAAGTTTCTAGGAAATACGGAAGAACTCAGTACTCCAAGCATATCACAAGCATCTGCTTATAAAATAACTAACTACCCCACAGCTTCCCCTCATGCCTGCTTTTGAGTAATAGAAGTTAATTTATCATTATCAGTAAGAAGCAAGCTTTTGGAAATATATGTTTCTCTCTTGCCTCATACCAGATTAAATTTACAACTCGTCAGCCTTTTTGCAAACTGACATAATTACGTCTTCATTAAAACCTGAAGGTTATTTTGAAAACAAATTAATACTTTTAATTGTGTTACTTACCCGATGCGGAGTGGAGTATGTTAAATCTGTAAATACATATTTTGAAGTTTCAGTTCCTTCAAGGAATTTGTCTTCTGCTAAGACATCATCAATTGGCTCTCGTTCATCCAAAACAGGGGGCATGATTAGTTTTTCTTTAGCTTCCTCAATGGCTTTTCTTGTGGCCTTGGGAGAAAAAAGTAGTGTAATTTTACAATTAAAAATATCATTCTACTGGAAAGCTAACATACAATTTTGGAACAAATATTTTCATTTAGAGAAGTATTTTTTTAAATTTTTTTCTCCAGCAGTTAAGAGAAAGGAGACACTAATTCAAACTCCAGGTAGATGAATCACACATGAACAATTTACCAGTACTGAAACCTGGGCAAAATGCTGGAGGAAGTTCCAAAACTGCAGTGGACAAATTGCAAACCCCACGTTTATTTCAGGTATTTTTTCCAGGGTAATTTTCCCCCAAATCATAAACCACGATCAACAGTCTGTATATGGCTGTGATTGTGGCTCCAGAACAGGCTCCAGTCAGGCCTCTTTGTCACCCCAAACCAAGTCAGACCACAGGAAAAAGAAAGCAGTCAAAGGAATCCCAGGGCTATAATTTAGATATCTGATAAAACATTTAACACAGTTAGGAAGCATAATGGGATAATAAAGAGAAGCTGTCACTCGCGGGGGGGGGGGGGGGGGGGAGAAAGCACCCAATTTCCTTCATATTGCATAAAAATCGAGCAACATTGAACAAAACAAGTTATTTAAAGTGAAGAAACACTGTTTTACGCTATTTTAGGGAATGACCTGAAACGAAGGCAAGAAACCAAAATGTTTTCAAAAGCAGCAATAAAGGAAACAGAAGTATGAGCTGTTACAAGCTCTTTTATTAAAGCCAACACTCAGTTCCTAAGGAAGCAGAGCAGCCTACCTCTTGCAGCTGAGCTTCGGTCATCAGCTTGTACTGAGGCGGCTTGAGCTCCTTCTTCGCGGGCCGGAACACCTTGTGCAGGTCGATCCCCGTCATTTTATAGAGCAGCGCCTGAACCGCCTCGTCCGTGAAGGCGGGCCGGGGCTTGGCGGCCTTTCCCTCTGCGAGCGGAGGGCACCCGCGGTTAACCGGGGGGCGAGGGGACGGTCACGGCCACCCCCTCCTCCCGCGCCCCCAGGCCCGTCGCGTCCCGCCTCCCTCCCCACAGCACCGCGCGGGTCGGGCCCGGCCGAGCCCCGTCCCTGGGCCGGGGTCCCCCCGCGCCCCCCTCACGTACCGCCCGCGGCCTGCGCGAGCCCCCGCCGCGCGTGCCGCCCCCAGAGCGCCCGCAGCCGCGCGGGCACCGCCGAGGAGACCCGCGCTCCCAGCGCCGCCATCTTACACACGCCCCGCCCTGCCTCCGCCCCCGCTGAGGCGCGCCGGGAAATGGAGTCATAGAATCACACAATATCCTGAGTTGGAAGGATCATCGAGCCCAGCTCTTGGCCCAAGAATCCCACACCCCAAGAATCCCACCACGTGCCTGAGAGCGTTGTACAAACGCTCCCTGAGCTCCGTCAGGCATGGTGCTGTGCTCACTGCCCTGGGGAGCCAATTCCCCTGCCCGACCACCCTCTGAGGGAAGAACCCTTTCCTCTTACCCAGCCTAAACCTCCCTTGACACAGCTTCGTGCCGTTCCCTTGGGTCCTGTCACTGGTCACCACAGAGCAGAGACCAGTGCTCTCCCCTCCGCTTCCCCTCACGAGGAAGCTGTAGATTGCTATGAGGTCTCCCCTCAGTCTCATCCAAGCTGAACAAATCCCCCTTTGCCTGGTGCGAGGGAGACACGCAGCCCTCCGGCATTTTCTCCGAGGGAAAGGGTAAGAACCTTGTCGTTTGAAGTCCCCCCAGTGCGTTTGTGTTATTAAAGGCTGCCGAGGCGGAGGTGAGGGGCAGGTTAGGGCGGGAACCCATCCTGCAGCTGTGGGACAACGGGAGCACAGCGGGAGCGAGGGGGCAGCCGGCTCCCTCAGCCGCCGAGGGGACGGAGTAGGGCTGCGGGCTGGCAAATTTCCTTCCTTAGCGGAGAAAAAAAGTGATAGGAAGAAAGGTGGAGTTGAGTCCCTCGTGGGCACTGGCGCGATGGAACCGCTGTTAACCCGCAGCTGCCGTGAGGTCAGGACAGGTGCAGGCGGCAGGAGGGCGCGCTGCAGCAGCGGCTGCCCGCTGTGACAGGCAGCTCCCTGCCCCGGTTCCTGGGCGGTCCGCCCGAGCGGGAGGAACACGGTGGTAATTTACACAAAATTAAAAACCCCATCTGGCACTGCGTACTGCTTTGGCACTTGCGTGGTTCATGCCTGAGAGCACCCGTGCTGTGCGGGGCTGTGCTGGGCTCCTCAGCCTGGCCACAAGTGTCACTGCCATGGGGGGTGAGGAGTTCACTCTCCTCGTGTTCAGGGAGCTTTAATGCTTTTGTAAAGGAAGGAAGATATATAACTGTATTTAAGCATAAAGCCAAAGGTGAATTTTATACCCAATAAATATGTCAGATCAGAGCTAGTGAAGACAGGGTTTGCAGTCAAAAGGGGTATGGTATTCCACTGAAACTGTACAAGAGGAAATGGATTCAAAATGAGAGTGGGTTTAAATTAGATATTAGGAAAATAATCTTTTCTGTGAGGGTGCTGAGGCACTGGCACAGGTTGCCCAGAGAAGCTTTGGCTGTCCCATACCTGGAAGTGTCCAAGGTTGGATGGGTCTCTGAGCAACCTGGTCTAGTGGACGGTGTCCCTGCCCATGGCAGGGGGTTGGAGCAAGATGATCTTTAAGGTCTCTTCCACCCCAAACCATTCTATGACTATAACTGATTTCTTATAACCAGGTCTCTTTCAAGGGGGTGAAAGTTTATTATTACTTGAGGTTTATTTTCTCTGGCTGGTCTGTATCTTCTATTGAGAATTTCAGTCTTACACACAGTGATTGGGGGGGGGGTGAAACTGAAAGAAAACCCATTTTTCTTTAAGGTCTCTTCCAATCTTGGTGATTCTATGATCCTGTTACCAGCAGCCACATCTCCGTTCAGGGCCCCAAAATGCTTTGAATTCTGAAAGGTTCAAAGCCACACACATCGATGCAACCTGGCTGATGACTTCCTGTTCAAACAGGAAGTATTTCAGCTCCAGGAGGGGAGATGTGAAAACAGAGGTAATGTACTTACATTCTGGAGGTTTCCAATTGTTTTAAACTTTAGTGGTTTGTTCGTTGCTTTGCTAAATCAAAGTCTAAATTACACTACTTTTGAAAATAACGGTTGAAGTCTGGGAGAAAATGAAGACTTTATTGCATATATTGGTATTCATTAGGTTGAAGTTAAGCATCAGCCGAAAAAAATACATTTGTTTCTTGTAATTGATCTTTTTTGTACTGGGGATATTCCTATTTTTCTCAGCCTTATGCAATATCCAAACACGTGTGCTGGATTGAATTTAATTTTCAACTTTTTCAATATCCTGGTGTTTGCATCATCAGGAAGGTTGCAGGAGGGCATATTCTTCTCATATTTGTATTGCTACAACTAAGTTGAAATCCTTGAGAACTGAAGAGGGCAAATGAACCCTTAATATTATTTTAATGTAATTTTGTGCAGAATTTATTTAAATAATACTAAGAAAACGAAAGATAACTTTGAGGAAATGGAGAAGGTGTTGTTTTTCAATTCTTGCATGGAAGATCTCTGGAGTGAGAGCTATACCCTATAAGGGAATTGGGAAGTTATTTGGCCACTTGCCTAAAAGCCACTTCAGACCTGTTCATGAATTTGGATGGCAAGCCAATGTCCATTTTAATTTACAGAAGTGCTTAGAAAAACAACAGAATTTGTTGGGCTATATCCAAGAGAGGTTAAATTCACATTCATTCTGTACTGGAGTAGTAACAGCTGGTGTGAGGATTAACCTTTTTGTCTGGTGGGATGAAAGGAAATATTAACTAACTGTACTGTAGATGGGAGTATAGCAGGTTAACATAACTTATAAAGTAGTATCAGTTTATATTGAATAGATTGGTTATATTTTATTTGTGGTTTATTTTTGTACTGGAGTAACAATTTTAAGTAGGATGTTTTATATTGGTATAAAACCACCTTGAAGAATCAGTGGAGTAAAAACTGATAATGAAATAAAGAATCTTTCTTAGCTTTTGTTATTATTTTGAATGCATCCCAAGACAGTTGCTGTTGGAGATTTACAACCATCTGATGGCTGGGTGAATGTCCCCTGTGGAACACATTGGTGGTTCAAGTCTGGATTCTATTGGAAAAGTGTCAATACCAAATCATCTGCCCCGTTGGCATTAATTTCCTTTTTGCTGGTAGTTTCAGGAGAGCAAAAGGATCAGGTGGCTGCTGGGAGTGAACCAGTTGATTAACATCTCAGGGAAAGGGAAGGCAAATGAGGGCCTTTGCTATGGTTTACCAGTCTTTCTGAGTAATAAATATGTCAAATTAGTAGTAAGGAGTTTTTTGGAAGAAAGAATTCTTTTTGGAAAAAAGTACAGTGAAAAATATAAAATGTAAGGTTTGGTAACTGTGCATCCATTCGTTATAAGAATAAACAGAGTGAACTCAGGCAGGCTGTGAACATGCCCCCAGTTGATGACATGACCCTTTTAAAATTGATGGCTGGTTCTCTTGTTCCTGATAAGAAACACTCTGGCAATCCCCTGGAACATTTTTCTGAGGGACACAATGGACCAGGCTGGAAGCTTTTTTTACTAAACCTGCACGGATAAATTGTTTTTTTACAGAGAAGGCATAGAGAGCTGAAGTAAGAAAGATGACACAAACTCTATTATATCATCAGCTTAGCCTTTAAAGGGATAATACATTACACATGTTTGGTTTTGTTTCCCCATGTACATTGAGGGAGTCAGTACTTTTTTGTAAAATTGTTGGGGTGGTCATTTGCAATATGGTTGCCTATTTTCAGGCACATTGCCTGCAAGCATCTTATTTATCAGTTTATTTTGTTTAACAAAGAGAGTATTATTTTATCCAAAATTGTCTTTTAAGGTCTGTGACCATGGATTTGTGTTGCCAACCCGAGGCCTGTGTAACTCCTTGGATGATGATGGTGATGATGATGCATAAGCCTTTGCTCATACTTCAGAGTGGCTGTTTTCTATCTCAAAAGCTGTTTAATGTTCAGATTTCCTGTGGGTACTTGGCAGCAGGGACAGATCAGTGTGGCTGTAGAACTCTGGCCTAGGCTGCTGGGCCAAATCCACCTCTGAAGGCAGAGTTATGGGTGGTTCTGCTGGACAAAGCCCATTTTTACAAATAATAACTGAGATGCCCACTGAAACTACAGAAACTGAGTTCAGCTGCAGCATTATCATCCTGAGGGACCAGCTGCCTTCTGTTACTGGTGTAAATATCCTTAGTGAGAGGGAACATTATATGAAGTTGTTTCTTCAGTGCTCTCCATTTTGGCAAGTGCCAACAGTCAGCAGAGGTTGAAGAGCAAATGTCCCTCGAGGATTTATTTGTGCCTTGACTATTTGACATTTGTATTTCCCATTTGAAGGAAAACCAACAAACCCAAAAGGATTGTCCTGCTGTTCAGCCTGGTTTCAGCCCCACTTCCACTGTGCACATGTGCTGTGTTCCTGTGGGCCACGGCGGGGCAGGACTGAGGGCTGAACGGGAGGGATGAAAGTGCCTGAGGAGTTCCAGTGGATCATGTAAATGAACTGCTTTCGTTAATGACCCAGATTTGCCTCTGTCTCGCATAAAACTGCCATAATCTCCCTTTAATAATGATAAATTAGATATATACAAAGACTGTCTCCAGTAGCTGAGATTACATACATTATTTATAGTAGGGATATAAATCCCACTTCGGTTTATATTGTTTTCTTTGCTACACTATAAGGGCTTGAGCCAAAGCCCATTAAAGTCCTTCTCTAACTTCAGCAAGCTCTGAATTGAGTCCTTATTTTTCAAACAAATCTTATTATTCCTTTTTTCTCTTGTAATACTTATCTTTTAAAAATACTTACCAAGGAAAAAATAATAGTACATATTTAGTATTATTCAAAGTAAGGTAGGGCTTGAGTAATTGTTGTTTTCCCCATTCTTAATAGTTTTTTAACCTCCCTCTATAGTCCATAACTGTTTCGAGTCCTGTCCTTCTGAATCCAAGCACTTGCCAGGGCATTGTGAACTAAACCTGGTGTGCAGCATAAACTGTTTCATGTGGGCAGGCTGGGATGGATCTGGTCCCTTTATTTCCACAGTAGAAGGACAGAGCAATGATCCTCACAGATTCGTGGGTTTGCTTTGTTCTCTGGGGACAGAAAAGTTAGGAGAAGATGGCACTCTCCATTTCATTCAAGGGTTAGTTATAATATTTCCCTTCTCTCCTGTTGCTGGCACAAGTAGTCAATACCTTTTTCTTATAATTGTTCTTTTATCTGGTTTTCCCTGAAATCTAACACCTGACAGAATCCTCTGAACTCTGAACTGTCCAGATTAAACCTAGATGTGTGTTATGTGTATTGCCTGTTGTCAAAGGCTTCATAAAAACCCAAATCACATGTGTCTAGTAGTTACACTTCATGATGTTTTGTCACTCTCCCAAAGAAGCCTGGAGGTCTGATTTTCCTACTTTTTTAAATCCAAGTTTCATCAGGGCTGTTGTATCATTTTATGGTTTTTAATTTAATTATTTTATAAATGAATTTACATTACACAGAAGCACATCCTCCTAGTTATAAACTGCTCTAGTACCTACTCAATGGTAACTGCAAAATTTGGTTTCTTTCATCCTTTTCTTGTAATATTTGGTTTTATTAACAGGCAACCACTTCATTCTTCAGTTGCTTCCAAAGCAGATGAATACATTTATCTGTTGATGACTTGTTACAGTTAAATAGATTATTTTTTTCCCAAAACTGGTTCAGTTTCTATAATTTTGTTTGTTTGCCTATTTTTTCCCAGTTAGAAGTTACCTCACAGTAGCCATCTTGCTGCTTAGTGATGCCAAGACATCACTCTTAACTGCAGCCATTCCCTTCTCAAGTTCTTTTTGCTTCTCAGACTCCATCTGTCTCTGGGATTCTTTTGCAATTTCACTTCTTCAGGCTTGTGCAATTATTTTTCTTTAAATCTCCTAATTGTTCATCATATTGCCCCGCAGCCTTCCTGTTTTCATATTACTTTGAATTCATCAGGATTTATTAGGATTTGCTTTGTCACCTTGCTTCCTCTTTCTTCTTTCCCCAAATTATTTTTTTCTTGAAAGAAGCTCCTGTAGTTTGCTATGTACAGTATAATTTAATTTCCTTTGTTGTTGTTGAGATGGGCAATGTGTACCTTTGGCTTGCTATTATATATTTAAATAGCCTGCATGATAAGACCAACATTTTTTAATCTATTTCCTACCCATATCACACCATTTAAAGCAAAATCCCCTCTCTTCTAAAGGTGGCACTGGAGGGGTGGTTGTTTGGGGGGGTTTTCTGGTTTTTTTTCTTATTCTATCCTTTGGGTGCAGAATGCAATACAAATTGCATTTGCTTAGGCAAACCCACTGTGTGTTTAAAAAAGTCATTATAAAGACAGGATCCTGGGGGGTCTGACAGAGGAGCTAAACCAGCTGTGCTCTTCAGTACAAACAACACATAAATTGACAATATCTTCTCTTCCTGATCAAGTAAGCCAAAGAAAAGACCCAGAAATTAAAAGATATTTTTATCTCACAGAAGCTCTTTAGTGAAGAGCCTGTCTCACAAGAACAGTTTCAAGTTGCATTTGTTCTTGTTACTTTCTTTCTACCCAAGCAAATCAAGAAAAACCAAGAAACAAAAGCAGAAATAGAATTAATTTGTTCAAATAGTTATCAGACTATTTTCCTGATTTCTTTCCAAATAATCCTTTTGACATTTATTAGGTTATCCACTAGAGTTAATAGGAAGATTCCCATCCATTTTTGGACAAACTGTCTGAGTAGAGCACGAGATGTCACCAGATGATTTCCAGAAGAGCGCTGGTAAAGATTATTCAGCTGGTGCTACACCTGCTTATTCTGGGGCAAAAAATACGTGTATGTTCTTTGTAAATTGTTTTAAAACGGTTCACTGAGTGAGTAATTGCATTCGTGCTCCTTTTGGTTTTCAGAGATTATATGTATGGGTAGAATCCTGTACACTGTGTTTCCACAGTGCTTCCTCCTGCATGGCCACCCCCCTGCATGCCTTGCCATGCCATCCTGCAGCACGTGGTGTGAGCATGAACATGTGCCAGTGCTTGCACACTTGGGCTACAACAAGTGCTTGGGTCTTTATGAGGGGCCATATTACATATCTAAGCAAATAATGTGGCTGGGTAGCTGGAGAGATCTGGTAGCGGTTTTATAGAAAGTTTCAAGGGAAAAAAAACCCAGCCCAGCATGGCAGGAGGAATCTTAGTGCCAGAAACATAAACCACACAGGCCTGACTCCACACTGTGCACTGTGGGCAGTGTCCCCATTTGTCAGAGGGATAAGTGTGTGGGACACAGTGTGGAATTCTTTCGTTGTTGGGAAAAGGGATGCAAAACAACCTTCCAGCAAGCGAGTAGATTGAAAATAAAGATGAAAAGCTAAAAGTGCTAGAAGTTCAAATGTTTGTATCTTGTTAGATACCTTTTGTTTTACAACTGCACAGCAAAATGGGAATGTGTTGGTCCTTGCTTTTATTCACCCCTTCTGGACTGCCTGCCTCTAATTCCTTCCCTTACACCCACTCCATACACACACATCATATCTTTTCATAAACAATCTCAGGTTATTATCCAAGTGGAAACAATGAATAATTTTCTTTTAGGTTTTTGAGCTGAATCAAGTCACAGAAGGGTCTAATGAGAGCCAGAACCTCTCAAGGAAAAAGAATGGAAGCAGGATCTTCTCCTTTTGATATCAGCAAGCCTCCAGATTGTGTCACAGTGCTTCAGGTAACTACACCCTCAAGATGCTGTTTTATAACTGGCCAAAATTGATCCTATCCTTCTCCCTCAGTTCAAGCCCTCCCTTGGGCTGTTTCACTTGCTGAAAACATTCTGGTCTTCATGACAGTCCCTAAACAGAGTCGGTTATTTTCTTCTGAATTTTGATTAAAAGCACAACACTTTGGGACACAGGTAAATTCAGGATCTAACTCTGAAAGGGAGCATATTTGTTGCATGGAAAAGCAAGTTGAATTCTGTCCCCTTTGAGTCTCTGCAATAGCACAGAGATCTCCTAAACCTTGCAAGGCATTACTGAGATGCAGCCAATCCACTGGGATTTTTTTTTACAGTACAGTTTTGCAGATCACTTCATTTTCCCCGTATGCTCTGTTGCAGCAGAATTCCTTCCAACCTAAGTACCATTTACTTTGTAATTAAGCAGAGGAATTTTTGATTGATACTTTCAAATTAAGCAGGCTATTGCTTGGAGGGTTTTCAATAAGTGAGTCCAAAATCAACTGTGCATTTTCTGTGCACATTTCAACCCAGAGGACTGAATATTTACCCTTAAAGCAAAGCATCATTTTAACTAGTTGTTCACTCTTTTCCCCCCTCCTCTCCTCTCTTTTTTTTTTTACTGTAGGCCCAGGCAAACGTCTAAATGCTCGTACAATATGTGCAATGTTCTCTAAATATGATTATATGTCCTACTAATTATGGTTAAATGATGCTTGCTTTATAGTCAGACATTCTTTTGCTTTCTCCTAATAATTTCCTCAGTGCTACTCAAAAACAGAAAGATGAAAAAAAGGTAGTTCAGAATAGTATCTGCCTTTTCAACTACTGGGTGCAATTGTTTTATCAGACAGTACTGTTTCTGAAAATTTATGAAAAATAAGACTAATCCGCGTTTGTTATTGTGAAATAATTTGGAATATCCTTCCCAAGTTCTCAGGTTAGTCCCGGTATGGCCTTGGACGCTAGATGGCAATGTATGGCTGTATGTCATGCACGGCAATGGCAGTAGCAAAAGTCTCTCAACACGAGAGAATCCTCATCTTTCAAAAATATTTGTAATATTGCCCTTTTATTATGAAAACAATTAAAATGTGTAAATGCTCGATTTTTACACTCTAAAAACTTTGCAAACTTTCTTTTTTCCTGCATTATGAGTGCATGGGGAACATTTCCTAATGAGTTGGACAGGTGAGTAGAACATTTACTCATTTTTTTGGTGTACAAGAAAGCTCTGCAATCGATTAATCTATCAACAGAGAGAATTTTCAGTTCCCAACATCATCAACATGCTCTTTGCCTTAGAACTGGAAGGAAGGAATGACAGTGGGAGTGTTGGCCTCTTCTCTCTCCTCAAATAACCTTTTATTCACTGTCACGACAATAATGAGAATGGAAATTTTAAAAATTATGTAAAAGCAAAAGGTGTTGGGTAGGAATGGCCACCTCATACCCTTATTTTGAGCTAAAAAGTCATCTTGAAAACAAACAATGCAACCACTTGTTATTTTGTCAGCATTTGATTGCTTTTGGATGACTTTAAAAGAGGTGGTTTCAAAGCCACTGATCTTACCCAAGCTGACATGTTATGGAAAAGGGCCCGTTCCTGCACAGGTTCTTTAAGGGAAAGACTGAGTGGGTTTGGTCATGTGTTATTACTTTTCCATGTCACATCCTACCTCTGCCTCACTGCTTTAGGTCTCTCTCTTAGCTAGTCTATGTGGGTCACTTTTCCTCAAGATAAAACAGTGCCCTGTGTTTGTCAGTTGATTATCTCACTTTTTGGAAGTGCAGGCAGAAATAATTGTTAGAAGAATGAAATTATGAGATGCCTTTGTGAGTCTCTGTACAACTTTGCATTTACTGTATTATTGCTGTACAAACAAGAGGGAGGTTTGCAATGAGGAGGACCCACCAAGAATGTTACAGAGGGGCATTATCCCTAAGATACTACAGAATGTTCCATTCCTCCTGCCCACTGGTGTGTTTTTAGTAGGGCAGAAAGGCTGTCTCTGCCTCTGGCTGGATTAAAAGGCTGTTTCATGTTATGCTCTCATGAGATGGAAGGACTGTGCTGGCCTGTGGTTCCTGCTGTACCGTAGGATCCGTGAGTGCAGGATGAAGGCACCACTGTCTCATTCTTTCTCTTCTCACAGGCAGTGCTGCTTTCTATGCTCAAAGGAGAGGCATAGCATGAGCAGACAGCTTTATTTCATTGTCTTCTCCGTCCTAATGCAGCATCCATTGCTGTCTTGTGATAAACACCAGCAGTCATTCCATCAGGGAAAAAAAGCCTGAATGGGAAACTAAGATGTTTAGGGCCCTTGTTAATGACCCTTCTCCACCCCTGTTTCTATTTTGCTATTTGTTTCTGCTCCATGTTCCCCACTGGTGCTTTATTTTGACATTTTTGACCCCTTGTGCACTTCCTTTTTTCCACCCATTGTCCCTCTTTCTCCTCCTCTTCTTTTTCTGGTAGAAGGGCATGTCCCTGTGGCATTTAGTTTTGTTTGGTTGGGTCCCCACTGAAATGTTTTCAGTCCCCACTGAAAACATTTTGCTTTGGGTACTCAGAACCACTGTGTGTAGGGGTAAACTGTTACCTCTGATGGCTATAATCCTTTATTTCTCAGTGAGGAATATGCATAAGGACAAGCCCTTGCTTAGTGGAAATGAGATTTGGGATTTTCTGCAGTTTGCAAACTGATCAACTGTAAAATTAAAACTGAACATTTTGGAGAGCAGTACTAAAGTAAAACAAATATATCCAATCAGTCATGACAAAATTTTCCCGAGGTTTAAACTTTCTGGGGTTTTTTTCATTAATTCAAAATAAAATCAGAATCCAGACTAGCCACAGAGCTGCCTCTATCCTCTTACAAAGCAATCAGGCTCATTAAACAAGCAGCTATATGTTATGAGCAGATACTATGCCCAAATGACATCCCCAGTACTTCAGAAGGCAAGGCTTTCTGTTCCTTCCCTCTGGCAAGAGAGGAACGTGCCCATCCCTCGGTGGTTGGAGGTGCTGAGGCCCCCGTGTGCTGACTGAGCGGGGCACTCACAGGCACTGCTGCTCTGCAGGCACTCAGGGGAGGGACTCAGCCCACACCACTGCCAGGAGCCCACAGGGCTTTGCCTTGACAGACACTGCTTGGGAACAACAGCTGTGTTTTGAGATTATCTCAATGACCAGATTATATCCCATCCTTACAGAAAGAATTTTTCCTCCCATCCTTCCCATTGCTGACACCAGAAGAGGGGACACAAACCTAAGTGTGCTGTGTCTGAGGGGGTGTCCCTGCCTCAGGATTCCCAGGTGGGGGGGAAAACTCCTCAAAACACCCTTTCCAAATCAGTTTGTTTTAATAGGAGCAAGATTAAATGCTCTCAAATCTCCTACTTATGTTTTCAGTGAGAAAAGGGCCAAGAAATAGCCGAAGTCCCTCACAGAAACAGGACATCCTGAGCTGTGGCAGATGGACTTCCTTTACAAAGTTTTAATGAAAATTTTCAACAATAGCTCTGTGTATATTCTTGCGGGGGTTAACACTTCTGTACACACACACTGGGCAATGCTACACAAACTTTCTGAAATAACATACAAAATACCATGTATATTTTGCTAGAAGAAATGTATTTTGGAAATATATATATATATATATTTACTGTGTTATGACAAAAGGCAGGATTAGGTAGAGAGAAAATTTCAGGATGTGGGTGGCCAGTTGAAGGTCTTACAGGGAGGGTTCAGTAAAATATCCTTGGAACATAAAATTAAAATAAATGAAGAATAAACTTAACCAGTGTATCAGTGAACATAAACAAATCTTGATGCTAAAAAATATTCCAAGGAAGCCAAAGTGCAATAATTAGAAAGAGATAATTATGCTTTCTCTCCTTTCTAGAAGACATACATAGGCTTTTTGGTAATTTCCTAAATGCATAGCAAAAATAGGTGATGTAAGATGCAAGATGAAAAACCCTTGTTGAAATTTATGATATACAAGAATCTACTCTGGCTGAAGGCCTGTTTCATGGCAATAAAGACAGAGTAAATGAAAAAAAATTTAAAATATTTTAAAGGTTTTTTCTGCTATAACATATGAAAATATTTGGAAATGTAACATACAAGAAAACAAAGTTACTATGCTGTAATTTAGATAGGAATGGTAGTAAATCAAGGTGTCCAGGAAGGACAACAGATGGATACTGTTCTGATGTTAATTATCTGGTACAGCTCTCTGGAACTCAGTTTAGATTTTGAAGGAATGCTGTGAGATAATAAACTATTCTTATGATATTTTAACAAAATTATATTGTTGTCAAAATGCAGTTACAGCATGAAAAAATGGTTATTAAAAACTCTTTGCATTTTTCTCTTATATGGTAAACAATCTGGTCTCCTAATCCCTTCTGGATGATTTGAACTTCATGTCCATGCTTAGAGTGCCCCAGTCATAACTGCAATGGCACCTTCACCCTCTCTTCTTTTGTAGTTTTTTTGTTGTCCTGTATTCCCAGAAATCTGTGCCAGAATTAGAGGCCCGTTGTGCTGCATGTTCCACAAACAGACCCAAAAGTAAAAAAAGACAGGCCACAAATGTGGTACTATCGTGAGGAGAGGCTCTTCTGTTGTTCCCATCAGCACACCTATGGAACCTTCCCAAGGTGCTTTGGACAGACCATGGCTATAGAAACACAGCACCAATTGGTTGGTTTAAACATTTGGAGTCATTATTTGAACTATGAGAAGATAAAGACTTTTTGGGTTTTCTTCTCTTAAATGAAAATGTGAAAAGTCTTTCTCGTTTTGTATTAGCAAATTGGAACCTAGTTTTGATATTCCTGGGGACAGTGGAATGTGGGCAGGAAGTGCTTGCTCTTGAGGAGAAATGCTATGGTTTGCCACATCTATTGGAATCCCAAAGCCCTCAGGGTGTATAACTGTGTAAGTTCTACTTTTTGTAGGCAAATAAGACCATCCCAAG